TGTCCCTTTAACATTTCTATTTGTCATTTTAACTTATCAAATAAATTAATTATTTGATAAATACCGATATGTGTTTTTTAAAGCCATCTTTATACTCTTATAATACACTCCTATAAATATAACAGATGGTATTTTATAGTTCTGACCTCTACTCCTTTTTCACTTGTCCCTTTAACATTTCTATTTGTCATTTTAACTTATCAAATAAATTAATTATTTGATAAATACCGATATGTGTTTTTTAAAGCCATCTTTATACTCTTATAATACACTCCTATATATATAACAGATGGTATTTTATAGTTCTGACCTCTACTCCTTTTTCACTTTTTTGGCATTTGAAGAAACATAGAAACATAGAATGTGACAGCAGATAAGAACCATTCGGCCCATCTAGTCTGCCCAATTTTCTAAATACTTTCATTAGTCCCTAGTCTTATCTTATAGTTAGGATAGCCTTATGCCTATCCCACGCATGCTTAAACTCCCTTACTGTGTTAACATCTACCACTTCAGCTGGAAGGCTATTCCATGCATCCACTACCCTCTCAGTAAAGTAATACTTCCTGATATTATTTTTAAACCTTTGTCCCCTCTAATTTAAGACTATGTCCTCTTGTTGTGGTAGTTTTTCTTCTTTTAAATATAGTCTCCTCCTTTACTGTGTTGATTCCCTTTCTATATTTAAATGTTTCTATCATGTCTCGTCTTTCCTCCAAGCTATACATGTTAAGATCCTTTAACCTTTCCTGGTAAGTTTTATTCTGCAATCCATGAACCAGTTTAGTAGCCCTTCTCTGAACTCTCTCTAAAGTATCAATATCCTTCTGAACATATGGTCTCCAGTACTGCGTACAATACTCCAAGTGAGGTCTCACCAGTGTTCTGTACAATGGCTCGAGCACTTCCCTCTTTCTAGTATTAATACCTCTTCCTATACAACCAAGCATTCTGCTTGCATTTCCTGTTGCTCTATTACATTGTCTGCCTACCTTTAAGTCATCAGAAATAATCACCCCTAAAACCATTTCCTCAGATGTTGAGGTTAGGACTCTATCAAATATTCTGTACTCTGCCCTTGGGTTTTTACGTCCAAGATGTATTATCTTGCACTTATCCACATTAAATGTTAGTTGCCACAACTCTCACCATTTTTCTAGTTTACCTAAATCATTTGCCGTTTGGCTTATCCCTCCTGGAACATCAACCAAGTTACATATCTTAGTATCATGAGCAAAAAGACATGCCTTACCTTCAAGACCTTCTGCAATATCACTAATAAAAATATTAAAGAGTATGGATCAAAGTACAGCTCCCTGAGGTGCCACACTGGTGATAAGCCCACGCTTTGAATATACTCCATTGACTACAACCAACTGTTGCCTGTCACTCAGCCACCACCTTACCCATTCAACAATATTGGAATCCAAACTAAAAGATTGCAATTTATTATAAGCCTTCTATGTGCAACAGTGTCAAAAGCCTTACTGAAATCTAGGTAAGCAATGTCTACTGCAACACCTTGACCTACTATTTTAGTTACCAAATCAAACAAAATCAATAAGATTAGTTTGGCATGATCTCCCTGAAGTAAACCCATGTTGTCTCTGATCTTGAAATCCATGTGTTTTTAGATGTTCAACAATCCTATCCTTTAACATGGTTTCCATTACTTTCCCTACTACTGAAGTAAGGCAACTGGCCTATAGTTGCCCGACTCCTCCCTACTACCTTTCTTGTGAATGGGCACAACATTCGCTAACTTCCAATCTTCTGGGACTACTCCTGTTAACAATCATTGGTTAAATAAATCTGTTAATGGTTTTGCTAGTATACCACTAAGCTCTTTTAATAACTTTGGGTGTATTCCATCAGGTCCCATTGACTTATTTGTCTTTACTTTTGACAGTGTAAATAGAACCTCTTCCTCGGTAAACTCACATGTAATAAATTACTAATTTGTCCTTTTTCCTAACTGAGGTCTCTTCCCTTCATTTTCATCTGTAAATACTGTAACAGAGTGTTGGGGATGGTGGTCAGGGGTGTATATCTGGCACCCAGACTTTTGCACAGCCACTATCCTGACATGTGGGTAAGCACATGCAGCCCCAGGGAAAGTTAAGTTTAAATTAGTTTTTTTTTCCTCTTGTTATTTGGGTCCCTGGGGTGGAGTATTCGGAAGAGCAGGGTGGGCCGATTCTCCACCCACTGTCAGAGTGGTTGTGCATGAGTCCAGCCCAGGTTTCCCATAGAGTTCTGGCTCACTGCCTAACAAGGTCATTAGCCTCACCTGTAGGGGCTGTGAGCAGCTATATAACTGCAGTTAAAGCAGGGTGAAGGGAGGGAAGTGTTTTGGAGGAGAAAGAAGGTGTTTTGTGGAGAAAGAAGATTTGCTGATTCATTGTATCCTGTTACTTCACAACAACAGAAAATAAACAGGCCAGAGGCCTTTTTGAAACTGGACTTTGTCTTGACCTGGTTTTCTTACCCTAGAGGGCTGTGCGGTTGCCAAAAGATCCTGGACAAACACACACAGGAAAGTAAGTTTGTCACATATGGTGGAGAATGCGGGCACTGCACTAAAGAAGCCTGTGGGTATTAACTGGAAGCCAAACAAGCCTGTAGAAATATGGAGGAAGTTGTGAAAGTCTTGTTGCAAACTACAGCTGCACAGCAAAAGGCTACAGCCGTACAGCAGGAGGCTACAGCTGCACAACAGGAAAATATTACAGCCCTACAGCAACTGGTAATTACGCAAAAGGCCAACACAGATGCGTTGATCCAGCAGGTTATGGCAGCCCAAGCTGAGGCAAACCGCCTGCTCAGAGAGGAGCAACATCAGGCCACCAGTATGATACAGAAGGAGATACAGGCTTTGACCAAAGGACTGACCAGAGTCTCGGATGGGACGCAGTCCGAGGTTAAAATGATCAGAGCCAGCCGTTACCTGCAGAAGATGACACCTACAGATGATGTGGAAGCATACCTGCTAGCTTTTGAGAGGACAGCTGAGAGAGAAGAGTGGCCGGTGAGTGAGTGGGCAAGCATACTGGCACCTTTTCTTATTGGAGAACCCCAGAAGGCATTCTATGACCTGGAACCAGCACAGGCAGGGGTCTACTCCAAACTGAAGGCTGAGATCCTTGCACGACTTGGTGTGACTAGGGCAGTTCGTGCCCAAAGATTTCATGCCTGGTCTTTCAACCAAGAGAAACCTATCCGTTCCCAGATGTTTGACCTGATACATCTTGCTAGAAAGTGGTTACAACCAGAAATAAATACGGCAAGCCATATCATGGAACTTCTTGTGATGGACAGATTCCTGCGGGGCTTGCCTGCTTCACTGCGTCGATGGGTCAGTCAGAGCGATCCACAAACAGCTGATGAGTTAATTGGTTTGGTGGAAAGATATGTTGCTGCAGATGACAGACAGTGGCTCAACAACACAAAGGCTAAGCAGAGAGTTAAGACTCCAGATGCTGAAAGACCTGGTAAGAATTTTCAAGGTTTCAGAGACACAGAGGAACAAGAGACATATTCTCAGAGACCTCATGTGCTTTTGCCTAGAAATGTTAATCCTGGAAAAGGGTCTAGGTGGGGGACAGTTGACGATATTAAATGCTTCCGGTGTAATGAACCTGGACATAAAGCTAGAGACTGTCCCTTGATTGATGAACCTATGCAATGCAATATGATTAATCAGGATGTACAATTGTCTTGTTTGCTGAATTGTATGGAATCTGCTGTTGCCAACTGTTGTCACAATCCACAGATATGTTCCATAAGGGTGAATGGGAAAGAGGTTAGAGCTCTATTAGACTCCGGAAGTATGGCGACATTGATAGCAAAATGCCTTGTACCTGAAGCCGATGTTGATGCATTGCAGAAAATTGGTATAATTTGTGTTCATGGTGACAAACGTGAATATCCTACAGTTTTGCTAAAATTTGAAAGCCTTTTTGGTACTGTGAATCATAGAGTGGGGGTAGTGGATAAATTGGCTTATGATGTGGTGTTGGGAAGGGATTTCCCCCAATTTTTAGACTTGTGGGGGTCTCCAGGAAAAGTAGCTCATGATTGTATAACAAATGATGATGATTCTGGAAATGTGTTCCCTTTTTCTGACATAGAATGGGAAGGACTGGGCATAAGACCAGAGAAGGCTGAAGCCTCAAGTCACAGGCCAGCTTTAGTAGGAGATGACCAGGGCCACGATAGTCAGGAGTCTGATAACGATCAGGATCAAGGCATTAACTTCCCTGAATTAGAAGTCAGTCCTGTTAACTTCAGGAAAGCGCAATGGGAAGACCCCACTCTTGCAGAGGCCCGTAAAAATATCCAGGTTTCAACTGATGATCCAGTACAACTAGATAGAGCCCCTTCTTTTCCTTACTTTGAGGTACAGAATGATCTGATATATAGAGTAGAGAAAAAGGGGGTGGATGTTGTAAAACAACTACTTGTTCCTAAGCCTTTCAGACATACAGTCCTAAATCTTGCACACAGCCATATACTGGGGGGACATTTAGGCATAGAAAAGACAAAAGAAAGAGTCTTACAGAGGTTTTATTGGCCTGGGGTATTTGCTTCAGTTGCGAATTATTGTTCTTCTTGTCCTGAATGCCAACACACCGCCCCTTTTAAGGCATACCGCAGTCCTCTGGTACCATTGCCTATAATAGAAATACCTTTTGAAAGGATTGCAATGGACTTGGTAGGTCCTCTGGTAAAGTCTGCAAGGGGGCATCAGTATATATTGGTGATCCTGGACTATGCTACCAAGTACCCGGAAGCAGTACCCCTACGTAACACGTCTGCAAAGACAATAGCGAGAGAACTCATGCTCCTGTTTAGCCGGTTGGGCATACCAAAAGAAATTTTGACAGATCAGGGTACACCATTTATGTCTAAAGTTACAAAGGAGTTATGCAAACTACTTCAAATTAAACATCTTAGGACCTCTGTTTACCATCCCCAGACAGACGGACTGGTAGAACGGTTTAACAAGACCTTAAAAAGTATGTTACGGAAAGTAATTGACAAAGATGGTAAGAATTGGGACTGCTTACTACCCTATCTAATGTTCTCCATAAGGGAGGTGCCACAAGCTTCTACGGGGTTCTCTCCTTTTGAGCTTCTATATGCCCATCATCCCAGAGGTCTGCTAGATATAGCAAAAGAAACCTGGGAACAGGAGTCCAATCCGTACCGTAGTGTAATTGAGCACATAGCTCAAATGCAAGATAGGATGGCGGCTGTCATGCCAATAGTTAAAGAACATATGCAGAAAGCCCAAGAGGCCCAGAAAAACAGTTATAATAAAAATGCCAGACTGAGAGTTTTTCACCCAGGAGACAGGGTGCTTGTTTTGGTCCCTACAGTAGAAAATACATTTCTAGCATCTTGGCATGGCCCGTATGAGGTTATTGAACAGGTTGGGGAAGTTAATTATAAAGTGAGACAACCCAATAGGAGAAAACCCGAGCAAATATATCATATAAATTTACTAAAACCCTGGAAGGACAGAGAGGTCTTAACTACTTCAATTATCACTAATAAGACTGGTAGTGAACTTGAAGTAAACATACCAGACACCCTGTCCCCACACCAGAAACAGGAAGTAAGGGACTTTATTGGTAGAAACCGGGATGTATTTTCTGTAGTTCCTGGCAGGACTAACGTTATCAAGCATGATATCGTTACAGAACCAGGGGTGAAGATAAGTCTTAAACCGTACAGAATCCCAGAAGCACAGAAAGAGGCGGTAGCTGCAGAAATTAAGAAAATGTTAGCTCTTGATATTATTGAGGAATCACAAAGTGAGTGGAACAGCCCTATAGTACTGGTGCCAAAACCTGATGGTTCGTTAAGATTTTGTAATGATTTTCGTAAATTAAATAGTGTGTCAAAGTTTGATGCTTATCCAATGCCTAGGGTTGATGAACTGATAGAGAGACTGGGTAAGGCTCGGTACCTGACTACTTTAGACCTGACGAAGGGTTATTGGCAAGTACCTCTTACAGACAGAGCAAAAGAAAAGACAGCTTTTTCGACATCAGGGGGATTATTCCAATACAAGGTGCTACCATTTGGGTTACATGGGGCCCCTGCCACTTTTCAAAGACTGATTGATAGGATTTTGAAGCCTCACAGCCGTTATGCAGCCGCATACCTAGATGACATAGTCATTCACAGTCCTGACTGGGCTTCACATCTTCCCAAAGTGCAGGCAGTACTGGACTCTATCCGCCTAGCTGGTTTAACTGCTAACCCATCTAAGTGTACTATAGGTTTGGAAGAGGCAAAATATCTGGGTTATTCGATTGGGAGAGGACTAGTTAAGCCCCAAACAGCAAAAGTGGAGGCCATACAAAATTGGCCACGCCCCCTCACTAAAAAGCAAGTTAGGACTTTTTTAGGACTTATTGGGTATTACAGGCGATTTATTCCTAGTTTTGCTACATTAGCAGCTCCTTTAACGGATCTCACAAAAGGTAAAGCCCCACTAGTGGTTAAGTGGTCAGTAGAGGCAGAAAAATCGTTTGTAACTTTGAAAGAGGCTTTGTGCACCCAACCGGTTCTGGTAACCCCGGATTTCACTAAAGAGTTTATTGTCCAAACCGATGCATCAGAGCTTGGGTTAGGGGCAGTTCTGTCTCAGGAAATTCAGGGTGAAGAACACCCAGTGTTTTATTTAAGTAGGAAGCTGACTCCCGCTGAGAAAAATTATTCTATAGTGGAAAAGGAATGCCTTGCCATAAAATGGGCCTTAGACTCATTGAAATATTATCTGCTGGGTAGAAAATTTAGGTTGGTCACAGACCATGCCCCCTTAACCTGGATGAGTCAAAACAAAGATAATATTGCCAGGGTGACAAGGTGGTTCCTCAGTTTACAACCATTTCATTTTACAGTTGAACATAGGCCGGGGTCTAAACATGGAAATGCTGACAGTTTGACGCGAGAAAATTTGTTTTCTGTGGTCGCTCACCCCACTAGGTCTGTGCTGGGGGGGAGGATATGTAACAGAGTGTTGGGGATGGTGGTCAGGGGTGTATATCTGGCACCCAGACTTTTGCACAGCCACTATCCTGACATGTGGGTAAGCACATGCAGCCCCAGGGAAAGTTAAGTTTAAATTTAGTTTTTTTTTCCTCTTGTTATTTGGGTCCCTGGGGTGGAGTATTCGGAAGAGCAGGGTGGGCCGATTCTCCACCCACTGTCAGAGTGGTTGTGCATGAGTCCAGCCCAGGTTTCCCATAGAGTTCTGGCTCACTGCCTAACGAGGTCATTAGCCTCACCTGTAGGGGCTGTGAGCAGCTATATAACTGCAGTTAAAGCAGGGTGAAGTGAGGGAAGTGTTTTGGAGGAGAAAGAAGGTGTTTTGTGGAGAAAGAAGATTTGCTGATTCATTGTATCCTGTTACTTCACAACAACAGAAAATAAACAGGCCAGAGGCCTTTTTGAAACTGGACTTTGTCTTGACCTGGTTTTCTTACCCTAGAGGGCTGTGCGGTTGCCAAAAGATCCTGGACAAACACACACAGGAAAGTAAGTTTGTCACAATACTGAACAAAAATATAAATTGAGGCAGTCAGCTAGACTTTTATCCTCTTCTACATACCTTCCTCCTTTTGTTTTTAATCTAACTAATCCTTGTTTTACTTTCCTTTTCTCATTTATGTATCTAAAAAATGTTTTGTCCCCTTTTTTTACTGACTGTGCTATTTTCTCTTCTACGTGTGATTTGTAAGCTCTAATAACTTGCTTAGCCTCTTTCTGCCTAATCTTGTAGATCATTCTGTCTTCCTCATTCTGGGTTTTTTATAATTACTAAATGCTAACTTTTTGTTTTTTACTACGGAGTACCACAGTGGTTTCTTGAATTTTTTGCTTTTACTTACAAGCCTAATACTCTTTATTGAGTCCCCACAATAGGATTCAGTTAGACTTCTTCTAATAGAAACTTTCCAGATCACATTATTAACGCAGATGCACGATCACATGATCGCAAATCTGATACAGAAATCTCACTCCTAATTTTCTTTTTTGTCGGTGGTACAAGCAATATCTAATTTACACCTATTTGTTCTACTCCACAAGCCTGCACTGCCATTATATTTAATACTCCAGCCCCACATTGACATGCGATCATGTGACTGCATAGGTGCCATGTTTATACACCCAAATGCTTATATCTATATGTTCCTTTACCTTAATATTACTTCTTTTAATATTTTAATAATTGGGTTTTTTTGTTTTGTTTTTTGCATTCTTATTTATCTCCTCTCCTTTGTAGAGAGAGATTATGGTACATCCATTTGTCCCTTTGTATTGTTTGTATTGCAGGTGACCAGGAACCATATTGGAACACCCTCTCACAAGTAATGTTATGCACAATGTTTTGGTATTTTTTGCGCATTTTTAACTGCAAATATATGTTCTTATCAAATATCAGTTTTAATACACACAAATGTGTTATTGTGTTATGGTGTTTAGGTCATGTGATGATTTAGTCACATGACCACCATCTTTAATTCTGTTGTACCAAAATAAGGAGTATTGGTCCAGCTTGCTGTAACTCTTTGAAAAATCCACATTTGGTTAGTGTCACTTTTTACTTCATGTTTTATTGTTTTTTAGTTCATGCCAGAATAAAGTTAGTCTATTTTTTAAGACACTC